AAATGTTCTATCTTGTTCGACTCTTATTCCTCTTCAATCCTTGTTTGGACCCTACCCAAGGTAATCTTTTTTGGATATCGATTTGAAAAATTTCTCTTCGATCCTTCAGATTCGTATAGTAATCTGCTTGGAAGTCGATTTGGAGAATCTTGGTTCTGCCACCATGGCGCCTAAGCGCAAAAGAAAAGGGCAAACTCTTGATCCCCCTTCAGATGAAATTAATTTGAGCAATCAATTTGATTTGCTCACGGATGATGAGAATGATCCATCATCCAGGAAAATTCTAGTAAACTTTTCCGGCTTAATGCCAAGATGATTCCCCCTATTGTGATAACAACTTCCGATTTCCATGCTCTTCGCACGGATCTTTTAAACTTCGTGAAGTTCAAGTTTTCACTTCAAATTGGCCGTCGGGGTGAATGCCGTGTATTGGCTGAAACCTTGGACGGATTCAAACATCTTCTCAAGTATCTTACTGAGAAGCAGCATAAATGTTTTACTTACGACGCCAAAACTGAACGTGTGTTCAAGGTTGTCTTGAAAATTCTGCCCATAGGTGAATTCCTGGATCAGATCAAAGATGAACTGGCGAAATTACTTTGAGTTGTGCCACTCCAAGTAATCAAAATGAAAATTAAATCCCATCCTGGCGATTCACGCAACGGGATTTCTTATGATTTTTATTTAGTTCACTTCAAGTCTAGTGAACTAAACAACCTTAAGGACTTAGAAGAAGCTAGCCTTATGCTCCATGTCCGAGTGAAGTGGGAACACATCAGGAAGACTGGAGGAAATTTCCAAAACCTCACCCAGTGCCGTAAGTGCCAGGGATGGGGTCACGGAATTAAGAATTGCTACATACCAGCTAAATGCATGAATTGTGGTGATTCCTCTCACGCAAAGGACGACTGACTTGTGAAGGAAGATCCTAAGAAATTTAAATGTTCAAATTGTGGGGAAAACCACAAATCCAAGTTTTGAGAATGTAAGACTCGCAAAGCGATCCTACAATCTCGTTCTAACCGACATCGTAGGAAACGCTGAACGTTTCCAAACAGGTACAAATTCCTCTGCTGTTAACAACGGTCAGCGAGGAACAAATTCTATATTCGTAGGTACAAACATCGAATTCTTCATCTATACTTGATCCCCTTGCTGCTAACAATGTTCAGCGAGTAAATGGAGCTGCCTATGCTGCTATTGCACCGGGTAGAAATCAAAATACATACTAGCCAACTGAATACGAACGGAAATTTTGATAATTTTGATTTAGGAAGCATTACTGCCCCTAAATTGGAATTTTTACAGAAATCATTAATATACATGATTACTGATATGCTTAAAACTAACTAAGAGCTATCTAACTTTTTGAGAGTTCATAACGTGCATATCACCGTTATAACTGAAAAGTTCCTTAAACCTGACTATATTGTTAAAAGGGCCGCACACTATTTCATTTATCGAAATGATCCTCTTGATGGACCCTGTGGTGGCCTTGTCATCATTGTTCAAGGGCATATCAAACATTAAATTCTTTCTTCGTTATAAACCAAAGTTTTTGAAACTTTGGGAGTTCTGTTGAAACAAAATTTGGATAACTTACTTATACAGGGTGTTTGGTTCCGGGTTTTACATATTTTCAGGGTAGATAGGGCTCCTAAAGTTATGAAAAAATCCCCATGAAACATAGGGTCGGAAATGACTGCTAAGTGAGTTATTCAACATTCTATGGTTTTTGTACTGCCAAATTTGGTTAGCTATATTTTTTTAATCTTAATGTGGTTTTCTGATTTCAACATACCTAATGAAAGATTAAAGTCTTAGCTATCAATGCTCTTTAGTAAAGAGCTCGATTAAAGTTAATTGTCATACATTAAAATTGAAAAGTATGTTGAAAGTACCAAAAAACTGGTGAAATTTCATACATTTTAGTGTTTTTATGTTGAAAATTTTCATTTCTGTTTATTTAGTTGTTCTACAAAACATTTTCCATGCAGTTCCCTAGATTTGTGCCTTTGGTAGTAACCTTGTAGGCTTTATGGATTCTTCGTAATTATTGATTTAAAACAGCCATAAAAACTTGTGACGTTTTCATAAAATGCGCTATAGTCACCCTATTCGTTCGTACATTCAGCTGTTGCAATGGACTACGCACATGAAAATTTGGTAGAATGTTATTGTAAATGTTTAGCTACATTCTTAACTTTTGATTATCACACATCTCCTGCGCCGAAAGAAAAGATAACTGCGGAGATGTTTCGCGGTATCGAATATTGCTCAGTCTCAGCAGAAAACACAACGAGAGACACCGAATCGGCGAATTCTGAGAGCGGAAGGGAGAGAAGTATGTAGTGGTAATAAGTCGATGCAGCGTTGCCAGGTTGCCAGATTTATCTGGCACAGCCAGAGAAATTTAAGCTCTGCCAGACAGATTTTTTGAGAAATCTGGCAGCTTCCTATGTTAATTGGCTGTGCCAGATTTTTGCCAGACATTTTTTTCGTGTTTTGCCAGATTTTTTCAATATAAGCCTGGTCTCTCTGAGTCGATGTCACTTTTATTTCATAGCACTCGCAGCTCAGCTGCGGTGCTGTTTCGATGGAGGAGTGTGGAGCTCCGCTGCTTCTGTATACACACTTAGTTTTTTTTGCAGTAGTCAGTATTTTTACTGGATTTTTGGATTACTGAAAAACTCGGTTAAAATTCAAATGACGGGATAACAGATGAAAAAAACTGTCGCAAAGTTGTCAAAAATGGTGTGAACTCATATTTTCAGTTGAATAATAGTAAATAATGGCAGCCCTAAGTATGCCTCTTTAGAATTGATAAAACGATCCGTAAAATATTGAAAAACGTTCCATTAAAACATCCAAATGATCCATAAAACATCGGAGAAAATCCCTGAAAAAGTGTGGATGATCTATAAAAAATATCAATATTATCAATATTTTATGTAAAATTTAGCAATACAATTGTACAAATGTTCTGCTAAATTTCTAAAGAATGAGCATTGGAATTGAACGAATAACCCATAAACATATTGAAATTGATCCATAACACATTCGGCAATGAACCTTAAACTTAAGAAAATGATCCATCAAAAATGCGCACTTCCAAATATAGACATGATCCATAAATTATCATCGTTTGCGTGCTTATTATTCATGTTTAGGACACAATTTTTTTTTTTAATTTTGATCCATAAATCTTGAAAAATGCTCCACTGCATACCTACTTAGATTTACTGTCCTGCCGTTGTATTTTAGGTAGAGGTGCGAAGCGACGGGCAAGCGTCTAGAATTAGCTTCCAAAAGATGATTCTATAATAATATTCTTAAGAAGCTTCCCATAAAACTAACACTTATTTTTCATATTTTCTTAAGAAGATTATTATAGAAGCTTCTTTTGGAAGCTTATTCTAGACGCTTGGAGCTTAAGCGTCTAGAATTAGCTTACACCTCTACCTAAAAAATACGGCAGGACAGTAAATCTAAGTAGTTACGCAGTAATGGAGTAATTTTTCATGGTTTATGGATCAAAATTAATAATATAGTGTCCAAAACGTGAATAATATACGTCTAATTTATGGATCATGGCTGTTCGGAGTATCGGGACTTATCGGGGCTGTACCGCCAAGCCCAGTGAAAACCCTGTGGGAGATTCGGAGAGCTGCGGTAATGGTCGGTGTCATAAATGACAGACGTCAGGTTTGGTTCAACGGAACTGTGAGTTGAGTATAATCTATATAATCTACTATAATCATTTGCATTCATTTCGTGCATTCATTAACATTCATTTGCCTCCAACTGTTTTTCTTCAACAGCATTCCGCAAAATGATATATAGAGCTTTGTAGGTTTTGTTATTAGCTACAACTTTTGTTAACAAGTCAAATCCATATCTATCATGCATGACGAAGCAGAGCGAACAGAAACCACTACTGTTTTTCAGTGAATGTATTTTACATTCACTGAAAAACAGTAACAGATTCTGCCCGCTCTAGTTCGTGATGCATACGAGATACAGATTTGAGTTATGGATAAAACATGTAGCTAATAACAAAACCTACACAAGTTCTATACATCTTTTTGCAGAATGCTGTTGATGAAAAAAGTTAGAAGCAAATGAATGTAAATGAATGTATGAAATGAATGCAAATGATTTTCCATGCCTGGGTGCAACTAACTTATTTTTGGGTAGAAAGCGAGGGGAAAATTCTATACGAATTACACACAAGAAAATGCAAACTACTTTGACCCGCCTTACCTACTATTGGGTACCTGCACTATAGTGCCGAGATGAGTGAAAAGAACTTACTTTTGGGTACTTTGTTCTTACCGTGTAGATAGGGCGGAGTAAGAACGAGAAAAAAAGAGAGGAAAAGAAGGTACAATTCCAAAAGTTTTACAGCAAAATTAGGTTAATTGCCTAAATTTGTTACTATACCTATCGTTTAATTAAATTGTAGTGATTTGTAGTGAACAAGCTACTGAAGTAGGTTAGTTGGAGGTGGACTTCGCGAAAATATTGAATTTAATAACCAATAATTAATAATCTAGATACTACAATTTGATCCTAAAATTTGGTAACCTACAATTTGTTCCTAAACGCTATATTCTTGATTTACCAAAAGTAACTAGTAAGTAGTCTATTCTACATCGTTTGCGTGCTTAACTAAAATAATAACTGAATCCCTAAATCCTAAATCTAGCCAAATCTTTGTTGAAAGAGTGACGGAAGATAACTCTCGGTTTGAAAAATCTCCCGCTCAGCCTCCTATCGCTTTTCACGGAGGAATTTCTCTTCCTCCAGCGTGTTCTCCTCTGCTGCAACAGGTCTAGGGATTTCTCCAGGCTGACCTCATTGGTACTCTGGCATCACTCCTCGCACTATTCTTTCTGCTAGGTGGTTTCTTTGGAACAGACTTGCACCTGTCTGCACCTTCAGCATATTTGTGCACTTCGAGTACGTCTACGGAACCTCCTTTACAGCTGTTGTCTTACCAGCACAACTGTAATGGGTCGCAGAATCACACTGGATCATGTACGTGGTCATGGCCTTCACAAAGCGTATAGTTTCGATCGCTGTTCTGTTCTTCACTGGTGTTGATTCCTTTGACATTTTGAGGATATATCCGATGTTGTTCTTCAAGAATGTTCGGATTAATGAAAGCAACTTCCTCAGAGCAGTCTCGTTTTGGACAGCTTGAAGCTGAAATAGGTTTTATTATAAGCGTTAAGATTGGCTTAGATTTTATATTAGTTTAATAAAACCTATATCATCTTCAAGCTGTCCAAAACGAGACTGCTCTGAGGAAGTTGCTTTCACTAATCCGAACATGTCTATATTTTAAGTGCGCAAACTGGAGTTCCTATGGATCACTTTCTTTAGTTTAAAGTTCACTGCTGAATGTGTTATGGATCAATTGCAATATTTTTATGGGTAATTTGTACAATTTCAATGTTCATTCTCTAGAAATTTAACAATTGTGTTGCTAAATTTTACATAAAGTATGGATCATATTGATATTTTTTAAGGATTTTCCCCGATGTTTTATGCATCATTTGGATGTTTGTTGTGGAACGTTTTCCAATATTTAAGGATCATTTATTGGTTTTTATATTCAAACGTATGTTTGTCGTAAATAATAGATTATTAGCCAACAATAATATTAACTTAAAAGTGCGAAAATTCTAATAAAGGTCACCTTTTCTGCGTAATAATTCCATATGAACGAAGGAATAAGTGTTCCGAAGACTCAAACATGTTTTTACATTCGAGAAATATCCCTTTGCACCACTAGATTTCCTAATGCTTGATGATTTCCAATCCAAGTACCAACCTTTTATATTAGCTTTATCTTGTATGCACCATAGATCAGTTCACTCTAACTGCATTACCTTTGCGTTTTGATTCGCGCCATGCTGCTGCCGTACAATATGCCTTAATTTGTTTTAATTAGCGTTACCAGAAACATCTCGTTAAACACGAGTCCTGTTTCCTCTCCCTGTTCCGTACGCATTGTCAAGGATTTTTGCGGCTTTTATGCCATATGGTTTCCCTTCCACCATGGAGGCACTATATGGAAATGGCGTAAAACGCACCAGAGAAAAAATATAATCAACAGATTTTTTCATGGATTTTTCAAAACAAAAATGCAGCTTTAAATGTACTTGAAAAAAAGTCGAAAGTCATATTACCCAGTAGATGCATATTACCTACTAACTTCGGTTCGTGATCATGGCACACACACACCCCCATAGCAACAACAGACAACACGCGGATAGCCAACTGCATATTGCATAAAGTGAATTTTAATCCCACTTCAGCGTTCTGCCGCAAAATAATGGCACTATCCGTTGTCATCATATAAACAGAACACCATGGTACATTTTCCCAGCTATACGATGCCCCCTTGCCGTCATCATGACATTATCGTTGCACTGTAGGAACCTTCCAAATAGCGACATAAGGGATGCAATTTAATACCTACTCAGTATTTGGACTTGGTCGGGTATATCCTTCGTCTATAGTACTAAATAAACTGGCTGCGGGATGCGAATCAGAACAGGTTGTTTGGATTGCTGAGAAACGAAAGGAGAAAAAAAATCCAAAAAATTTGGTGTGTCCCATATTTCCAAGATTCCACACAGTTGCCAAGCGAGACGCCTGCAAATGAAAGGACAGAGAAGTGCAATGAATAATAAATTTAATGATTAGATTTTGCTTTCCCCCTCATAACTACATTGCTGCCTTATAAAATACCCTGTTCTTCCTTGTCTTTCGGGCCACATAGGTTTGGAAAGCTCTAAATTTTATTTATGAGGCGGTATATTTTCCGCCGAAATGATTCACAAGAATGCCAAAATTCTCTCACATCGTGATGCGGAATTCTGTGCACGATGAAGACAATACAAATCGGATTCCGGCCATCCTCTCGACCAAAGGAGAGGGATCGATGATAAATCTTGGTGCCGCCCCTAATGACCCGAGAAAATTGATCAAGGCTGTTGCGGTGGGTTCTGATTCAATGCTGTATACATGGCCATAAGATAGAGGTAAAAACAAAAGGCAATTTATTGTTCCCTTATGGTTTACCTTTCTATATGGATAAATTATTAAAATAAACACAGATTTTTTTATCATTACCGCATTTAACAAATCTTTAGCCATTAGTCAATATTAGAGTGAGAATGAACTTTTTAAACTTTTTTGAAAAACATACCTAAATCTGATTTTGTTTTAAATATGGACCCTATTAGTACGCTTGTTGCAAGTAATGTGAAGCACCAGTGAATACAAAATGATTTTAAGTAGTTACCAAATATTTAATAAGTGCAATATATTCATCAATAAGATGTACCCAACAAACAATCGTCTTTTGAAGAAACGACTTCTTGACGATTTTGTTATATACTTGATTTGCATGTGAAGTAACGTTTAATTTTACAATATTATACATTTATTATACGATTGTTCAACTGTGGAAAACTAACCCGAAAATAAGAGAGAGGGGGGAGACAGGGATGGGTGTTAGTTATTCTTAATTAGTGATTGTTTTCATTATTTCTGACGTGGCACGTACCACACAGGTATTCAAATAAACTACATACATGCACGCAGGCAAAGTAACGTAAGAATTCCATAAGAAACATATATGAATTTTAGCCATAAGAAATGAGTGTTAATGTCATTGATTTGCCTTATGAAAAATAAAGTTGACGTGGACGTTGTGGCTAGGGGGCCCCCGTTCGTGGTGACCACTCGTCTTTCAACGGTTGGGAAAATGAAATGGTTGAAGGCGTATAAGAGCTACCTCATGATACAGAAAATCAAGCATAAGTCACGCTTATGAAATTCATATAGGAGAAATGGCTCTAATGTTGGCCTATGGATCTAAGATTGGGCCCATCGCTAAAAAGCTGCTATTTATCAATTTTATTTAGATGAACAAGTCATTGGGACGGTAGTAATGTATATGTTTGATCGTTATTGAAAATTTAGTCGAGTGCTGAATTTAAGTATGGGCCCAAATTAGGGGCATTTAGGCCGAAATTACATCCATTTTCCCTTGTTGTTCATAAGTTGAGCCTTATGAATTTCTTAGGTCCATTTGCCTCAGTGTATACATGTCGTTGCATGGGATTCGAAACATGAACCTTCCGATCACCAGCCGCTTGCATTGTCATCAGAGCTATCCTAGATTTCATCATAAGGGCAGCTCAATAATCAATAAAAGCTTGCTTGAAAGTGAATAGCTATCAGCACTTCCGATAGCAACTTTAGCTCCTTAAAGGCCTTTAGGAATGATTAATTCATTCATCATTGTTTTACATAAAACCAATGTTACCTCTTCACCTCTCCAATTCCAGGAAAGGATGCTCGCTTATTTTTGGCGTAGAACTACGTCTTTGTCGACTATACTGGGGTGCAAATCAAAAAATATGTTTGGTGAAATAGTGTTAGGCTTTGAACGCTTGTAACTTTGTCATTTATAGATGAAATTAAAATCCAAGTACGCCAATCGATAGGATATTACATTACGAACCTGCTGAAATAAATATTTTTCCAATTTTCCGTAATGTAACTTTTGAAAAATGTACAAATGATAATTGTATCACTGTTTTCATGTGATTACCTCTCACCCCAGCAGGTCTGGATTCAATCCCAGTCAGCGCCACCGGGATGTTCTGAGGCATAACCAGGCTTGCTGAAACTCCTCAAACTCACTGGAGGTTTAAAAAACTCTTGTCCTGCGAGTTTAGCCAGCCCTCACCTCGAGTGAGTGGTGGCAGGAATATGGAAGAAGTAAACAAAAACTCCTCGAGAGAGAGGGAGAGTGAACTTCAGCGAAAGAATGATTTGACGTGAGGTGCGCTTTTCGAGACTTTTCGGTTCATGAGTTGATGGGTCGATAGGTAGGGTCCAGGTGTGGGAGCTGCCTTCCTGGCGTCGGTAGCATTGGTGCTCAGCACGGAAAACAAATCAAGGAAAAAAAAAGTACCGTCTTCTGACAGGTAAAATAACTCTTAAACAATTAATAACTATTTAATTTGAAGTTTGACTTAAAAATGATTTTTTGCAAAGTTGTAGCTGATAAAAATTTCCATAAGAATAGCAATTGAATTTGTTAACAGTACAATATGTAAAAAGCCTAGAAGACAATGAACAAAAAGTTTTTTTTCCCATAGTAATGCCCATATAAACTTCAAACGGTTTGTGCCAAGTCAGATTCTCTCTATATGAGTTCAAATTTTGGGAGGCTAATCAGGGCCCAATTTGGAACCGTTTGAGCACTGTGGAGCGAAATTTTCATATTTTGCATCAGTCTAATGCTTATTTGTGACCAGTCTTCGGTATTGAACATACAACGTTGTGTTCAAGATGAACGCGTTTTCGCTGTGTTGCTGCCTTTCATGTTTGCACATACACATAAACTTTTTACCCTTGTGTTCAAACCTGGGGGGGGGGACGTGCTGTCAAATCAGCCTACTGATCATCTTGTATGAAACTGGTTCCAAACGTAAACAAACGCTGTAGGTTTCTTATGGCTTGTTTACGTTTGGAACCAGTTATGCGAGGTAGGCGACGATTGTTCGTATTTGACAGCCACTTCCCCCCTTGGTACAAACATGTATCACACATGTGGGCGCGTCCAATGTTTGTACATGATGTTTGAACATTGTGTTTTCAACGTCTCAAACAACAACAGTGCAGCGAATGTTTGAAGGCATTTCTCGGTGAACTAAAATTCTAGATAGAGCTGGAATTAGGGCGTAACAGCCTTTGTAAACTATGACTTCTCTCAATGATTTCTTGTAATTCAAGACACAAGAAGTCTTCCCCTACTCGATGGTGATGTCGATTTGCCAGAAAGAGCCATGATTTTCGAGAAATCCTCGAGAGAAGTCATTGTTTACTAATGCTGTTAAGCCCTAATTCCAGCTCTATCTATAATTGCATGCATTGTGTGTAATTTAATGCTATTGAGTTTACAAATATGTGTGTGGATGACTATATGTATTAAGTTGGTACCAAAATATATAGAGAACATGGATTTGTTATCAATATTTGCTAATAATAGAGATTACAGAGAAAGTTAAAGTGCGATTATGTCGGTC